TTTGGATATCTTTACTGGTTTAGCGGGAATACGGTTTCAAAGTTCTACTATGCTGCTGCACGAAATAAGGTGTGAGCCACTGTATATATGTGGTAGATTATATGATATGCTTTCCGGGTGCAGCTATTTCTCTTTCAATTTATGATCTCAATTTAAATGTCGCTGCTTAATTGACGATATAATTGGCACAAGAAATTTAAGCTAAATATGGATCTAGTGCGTCATCATCATCTTCATCATAATAATTCTTAGAGTTATCGTCATCGTCAATCAGTTTGTAGTGCGTCATTCTAAGGGCCGATGTTTAATTTGGAGTGGTTGAAGTATTTTCACTCCCCTATTTACACATCCGATGAGATAAATGGCTGAAATAGCACCGACAATTGCATAAGACCATTTGCAATACTCTTTACTCATTGAGGCGAGCAGTAATATTAGCTATATACATATATTATGAAAAAGTTGATGTTTCGAAACATTTTCTATTTAAAATATGATAAAGTATAAGATTATAAACGGTATTTCATAGCCGATACAGTCTATCATATCGCCTGCTTGTCTACGTCTTACTAATGAAAACCTGTTTAAATAAATGTTTAACGAAATTAACAAATTATTATAAATAACAGTTGAACTTTATTATGGGTTCAATTTGCACAAGTGCTTTAGACAATTTGATATCAGCGTCAGTTCCTGTCGGCTCTAAAAATACAAAATCAACAAATAGGCCACAAAAAAAAAATTAAAATAATGATGAACTTCAGAAAACAGAATTCATTTTAATTTGCCACACCCATTATGGAGGATTCACTTTGTCGATCCACGCAAAAGAACAAAAGATATTCCATTCTAGGAAAATTACTAGATATGGTATTTATATAAATTTTTCTTCTTTGACCGATAATAAGTCCAATCTGATTTACATCTCCAGTGAGTCAGGCACTTAAGTCTTGGGAAATACGAGCGGTACAGCTTTAATTTTGATTGCCAAAAACAAACGTCGAACCCGTTCGACTCAGTGATGTCAGTTTAGGGTTAAAAAAAGGCTCAAGAAATATAGGCGCAAACATTTCAATAGGTCATTCAGTGAGTCAATCAATCAGTCAAATGGTTGAACTATCAGACATAGTATCATCAATCATTCAGTCAATCAGAGTTTGAAATGCAGTCGTCAATTTGTTATCCAAATTGTAGGTCTTTCAATCAATCTATCAGTGTTTCGTCATTCAGCAACTAGCTCAGTCTATCAATCAGTTAAACCGTCAATCGGTCCATTGATCAACTGGTTAAATGGCTAGTCCTTTGACCCATCCTTAGTCATCATCATGATCTATGTCAGTCGCTCAATCATCAAGTCAATCAAGGAGTCACTCAATCAGTCAATCAATTGTCGACTGCTTAGTCTTTCATTCAATCCATCAGATATTTGGCTTACATTTCATGGACTACGTCAGTCCATCAGTCAGTCAATCATTTGGTCTACCATTTCTAGCTTCTCCCCCTAGCACAGCCAATAAATTGCTTAAATAGCCCATCTATGATAGAGTCAATCAGCTGGTCAGATCGTTGCATCAGCCGCAATGCATTCATTCAATCAGTAAATTGCTCAGTCAATAAGTCAATTGATGAATCAAACAGTTTATCGCTTGGTCAATCTGTAGACAGCCAATCAAAATCAGAGCAAAGCGCAAAAGCAAACCGAACATTTGTCCCATTGACAGCTACCAAATTTAGAGACGCATTTTCACAAATAACTCAACAGACATACATACATACATACATACATATATGTATATAACGTGTATACACACACGACTTATCTATGCAATAATATACCCTCTGCTCTCTGAGCGGACTCTTACAATTCTATTACGTCGCAATTGTTTTTTTTTTTTTCTTTTGCTATTTGCTTTGCTTTATGTGTTCAGCGTCGGCCGACACTTAATTTGATTTTCCTCTTTCGCCCGCTATTCTTCTCCTTGTCAGTTGGCGTCTGGTGCTCTTCATTTTATTTTGCTCGTTTTATGAGTCGTATACGTAATCTGCCCTAATCTCATATGTCGTGCAATTATTTCAAGTGCAACGACTGCAATTTCCTCTATTGCATATATGAGCATGGCAAATCGTTGGCAATTTGTTTATATTCCGTTACAGATCAACTCAGAGCACATATGTATATGTATGTATGTGCCTATATGCATATATATATATATTTATATGGTATATTCTATACCTTGGACACATTCGTCGTATCTGTATCTAACGTTCTGCATCTGTAGGTAGACTTTTGTATGTTTTCTGTTTCGTTTGCCTACTTTGTTTGACCCTGAAAATGGCTATTTCTGTTGCTGTTGTTGTTGCTGTTGTTGCATGTTCTGTATTAGCTCTTTCCGCATTTGATTCGCGGCTTTAGCTTATTACGTATACGCCACCTTGTGCTCTGTGCACTGCTCAGCAGCTCAACGAGCTGTGCTGTAACTGTTTTTCATCCACTTTATCAGGGTTTATCAACGCTATGACATACGCTTATGACATACATTTAAACACACACCCAAATACTCACACACACACACACACACACACACTAAAATCTATAATAGATTTTACAACACATGCTTATCAACTTGAATTGGACTTATCATATTGTTTTCCCTTTGTATCACAAATGTCTATTAATACAACGTGTTAGAACATGTTTACTTGAGCAGCTCAACTAATTGCATACCCTGCATAATTGCATAATCTCTAACCGCGTTTGATGATGTCTAATTGCAGGCTCAGGCGAAAATTAAAATTGGCTAATTGCAGATCAATGCATGAACTTTGCGCTAATTTCAATTTGTTAAATAATGAATAGTTGCATTTGGGTAGTAAAATCTTGATATGCTCCACTACTTTTGTTATGCCTATCCTATTTAAATCTGCCAAAACTTGAAGCTTTATAACCATTGCTATAGATTTTATGAATAGGCTTTCAGGCATTAAAAAACAAAACAAAAAGCTACGAATGAATTTCAAGCCGTGCACAAAATGAGAATTAGACTCTCTCTCTCTCTCTCTCTCTCTCTCTCTCTCTCTCTCTCTCTCTCTCACACACACACGTGCTTACAACGATACACATCGACTCGCACACACAGACACTTTTAATGGCTTCGCAGAATTTCAGCAATTTGTTCAAATCATTTTAGCCAAGCGAGTTGTGTTGGTCAGTATACATTAGATGCACATACATACATACATACATACATACATACATACATACATATGTGCTTGTATATATATATATAAAAGGTCAAGAATTTGACTAGCTAATTGGTCCGTTGAGTGTTTTTAGCATTTTATAGTCGATTATTATCTAAACATTTGGTCCACCCTAATGCTACCTCGTTGAATTAACCACGATATCCAATTTTTGTTAGCCTTGCAAGACTATATACATACATATATACACATATGTATGCATATAATATATAAAAATATTTTAAAATAAGTAGAGAATGTCTGACAATCAGTCGGTCTTACATATATATTTGTAATAAATAATAATAATATATTATAAGTAATCCATTTTGGGCTAGGCTAATCAGAAGGAAATGGAAAAAATTTCTGGTTTGACAGGCTGTGAATTTCGAAAGCACTTCAAATGATAACTGAACAGTTTTATGACCCTGAAGAGGGTATAATATAATTATTGAGAATGCCATAACTGTTAGCTGTAAACATATAAAAATAGATGCTGTACTGATATAAACACGGACTTGAAATATTTTTCAAGACATCTTAGCATATCTATAGATGTCTATAATACCTTACTATATAGCGAGACTAGGAACAATCACTCAGCAAAAAAGTTCGAATATACTAAAGAATTTTCGAAGGGTATTTAAACTTCGGCATACTAGAGAAATATTTTTTGTTTGTTTTGGTTTTTTTTTTTTTTTTTATTGGTATTACCTATCTTGATTTTTAATTTTATGGCTATGGACAATCTAATTTATAGGCGCAAAAAAAGCTTAATTTGATTTGCAATTATTATAAATATAGTATAATTTAATAAATGATTTAAATACAAATATAATAAGCGACTTTTACATAACACTAAGTGAACCAAAAAACTATAAAAAGTTGTTGCTTGATGACGAAATGGCCTGTGATGAAATACTGTAAGGCTTGATCTTGTATTGCTGAACTCACTTATGTATATGTATGTTTATATTCATGTCTATGCATGTGTGTGGTTAATTTTAGTTTAAATTAACTACAGCTGCAACTAAACGCGCACCGCTTAATTGAACCATCTCGATTTTATACAGAAATTCAACTGATGCATAATGTCGTCGATTGTGTAAGCGCATTCGGGCAGCTGTTCCGTTATGTGTTCCATGAATAGTAATCCGATTTGCTCATTCAGATTGTGAAACAATCAGAACTTATAGAGCCTAACATTTCCCAACGTATAGTCCATGCAAAACACCGCCTATAACTCATCATCAATCGAAAGTTCCCATTCTGTTATATGTTATATTATATTCAGCTAAGGAAAAGACATTCATAGTTCTGTTCCATATCTACTTTCTGTAATTGAATTTACGATACGCCAATATATAATCGTTATACATATTCCTATTGCAAGTTAATCTATTATCTATTTACTTTACTTCTGGAGATCTTCATGTTAGATGGATTCGTCAAAGAGATTATTATATATAACTAGTAAATATTTATTTTAAGTTATTCGCATTTGCTAATTTAACTGAAGACATTCGTTTGAATAACAAACTTACCATTAAGATGGATGTATATCATATGTAGCAGATAATCTTAACATGAGCTCTCGATAATTGAAGTACAATTGCTACATATTTGACATGAGCTATTCGAAATATTTACCATGAAGATACTTGATACAAACTTGAACATATCAGTCATATGATGTAGTTGGACTGGTTCTCGAGCAATATTTTGCTTAAGTTTCATATACATATAGCTTACGATTGGAAGATATGGTCTATCAAATTACGACCCCGTCTAATTATAATCTTTATAGTCTAATAAATCAAAATGCCGGCCCAATGTAGCAATTGCAATCTATAATAAACAAAATATAAATCCATATAACAAGAATTAATAATAATAAAAATGAAGTATTTTTATTTTTACTTTACGATTGGTATTAAATATGCATAATAAATTAAGTATTCCAAATAATTATAAAGGCAATCTAGAGTTTCGAGTGCCGTCGATCGTTCCACACTCCATCGTCCACCTTTCTGGGCACCTGCCTCAGCAACGGCGACATCCGCTCCAATACAGATATGAAAATACCCAAATGGGCGGCACTTCCACACGCACAGTGGTATCAGCTGATAGTTGTTGTTACAAAAATATATATATATACACATATATTTTTTGCTTGTGATCTTACAAGCGAAATCATTGTAAGAAACTCAATTTAAACTAGGAAAATAATATATAGTATTATATATATTTAATGTGATCAGAATCAATAAAACTTTCTGTGTTTAATTTGTTCCTCATATTCTCACAGTTCACATATTACATATATCATATCATATCACATTTCTATGAAACTAAACTCTTTTGTATACCACATTTATTATTATTATTATAGAATATAGTATCGTTGAAATATGTTATATATGTCTTTTGTGTAAACTGTAGAAATATGATGATATATGCAAGCAATTTAACCTAGATATCACATATTGTGTATAAATAGATATGTTTATATTTGATAGATCTACGTCAACCAGAGACATTCTTTATCATAATAGTTAAAGCAAATTCCAGTATATCCTATTCCCATCAAGAATAAACAAATGTAAATTTTGCGACCTTTTTCATTGGAATTTGCCACTGTGATCGGCAGATTTGCCAACGGTAAATTTGTCGCCGTTGTTGTTGTCAAGTTCGTCATCGGCAATCGATGGATGGATGGATGGATGAATGGATCGATGAATGATCGTTGGATCGGCCGCTTGCAATGCGATACGAAGCGCTATTCAGACTGTCCGAGCGTCGTTCCCATCCACCGCATAAGTAATCGGAGTCTGCTCGTGGGTATATTTAGTAGTGGTTTAGCCGTGAAGCGATCAAGTTCTAGTTGACTCTCGTTTCTTCAAAGAGGGTTTTTCGAAATAGAGTGCATCAGTATTATTTTAAAGTTCTACAACTCGCGAACGTATCAAAGGTATACAAACTCTTTTTTTTTTCAATTTGGAGTGAAAGTTTATTCTATATAGAATATATATTTTTTTTTTAAATTTGAATATTACATACATAGAGTTACTTATAGCGCGATTACTCAATGCTTAGCATCACTAATCAAATCAAATCAAAGTGTCTCATCTAAGAGAGTTAGCTTCTCTAGGCATGCTCAAGTGGAGCATGTCAAGGAACACAGATCCTCTCACAACTCTTACACAAGCCCGTCAAGTTGATCAATAGTTCCCCTAGGCATAAATAGATAAATTGATCAGTATTAAGTTTCTCTACATCGTACTTATCTAAAAGAGTGTTTGTTATTATGCATATGATCCATATCGCATTACGTTAACAGAGCTGTGAACTACATACATACGTAGCTCTTACAAAATAAATATTTTGAAACTTTACGATCTCGAGTTGCATTAAATGCTTACCGAATCGTAATAGATATATACATACAGACGTCAATGCTCTCAATTATATAGCTGTCGGTTTTTCTTTTAGCTGACAGTTTCACTGAATTATACAATTACTGTCACAGCTGAGCGATTCGGTATTTGCTAAAATCTGTAATTGAAACGACAAAACTGGGCTTGAGTTTAAATGTCGAATATATGCTATGAGATTTATATGTAAATCGATTGCATATGTATATATATATGTATATGTTTATATGTATATATGTTGTACAGAATCACAGTAAATGGCAAGCTGAAGATATATAGTGCAGTTTGTTTGTTGTTTAATGGCTTCAGCTGGATGGCTTGAGCTGGATTTATTAGACAACCCATTAAATAGCTGCTAATTGTTTTCTATAGAATTTAGTTTGACATTTCCCTATGATTAAAAGCACTGCTATCTTGTATCAAAATAATGATCCTGCTTGATAAACTTAACGTGCAGGTCGTGATCATCCTGATCGATTTCGGATGACCTTTGGTTATCCCAGGTGTTGCTAGGCACTGGAAATTTCACATATACATATATGTAGGTTAAGTTTTAAGTTATATATTGTATCAGGTATATATATATATAACAAAAGACCTATCAACAGCTATAATTTGTGTTATCAATAACATGATTAATTTTCGTTTTCCCTTTACATATACAAATACTGTTGTGGGTATTATTAGGCCATTATCGATTTAGCAATTATTTATTTAAAGCTCATCAATTAATAAACCACACTGAACCCTAGCAACTATTAACCGAACACATCTAATCGCGGTCAGACGATTTTATTTTATTATTCATAAATATTAACTCGATGCATGGGTAGTATTTGAAATAGGTATTTAAAATAGGAACACAAAAAGAAGTTTTTGTCTTTGTTAAAGTCAACAATCGAACACTCTATCTGAATGGTGGATTATCTATCCACCCATTGGATTGCAAGCAAAATGAAACTTAATTACCTTAACCTTTTCGCCTTTCTATGCACTTCTCAGTGCTAACTGTGAATATTTGCCTTTAGATTTAGTTGGATGTATGTGATTTGAGTAACTAAACTTGAATTTCTTTGATCAGTTAATCGAAGAGTTCCTTGACCAGGAAAATATTGTACAGAGAAATAAATATGGAGTATGTATGAAGCAGAGACAGTTCGGAGTTTTCAGTAGAAACGAGACAAAAAATTGACAGAGTCAAAATTATAGATTTATCTAGATGTGACAAACTATTCCTTGTTCTCGCCCTCTCTCTGTCTTGCTCGCTCTCTTTCCCTCTCTGTCTCTGCGCCACCGTGTATGCATCTGTGCTTTGGAGCATTATTAGTTTTCCATATCAATATCAATCTCACATCATCTGACTATCTATCTCTCTCTCTCTCTATTGCAGCAATGGGCCTATTGAGCGAGGGCAATCCACTCTCCTGGGAGGAGACCAAAAAACTAGTAGATCATGTTCGTGAGCACGGAATCAATCAGTTCATACATCTATACCACAGACTGAAGGATCGCCAGGGCGACATACTCAAATGGGGCGACGAAGTGGAATACATAATTGTCAAGTTCGACGATGAGCAGAAGGTGGCGCGCGTTTCACTGAAGGCCAAGGATCTGCTGGCGAAACTCAACGAAAAGGAGCTGGCGGATCCCAACGGCGTCAAGTCGCTGTGGCGGCCCGAATATGGCGCCTACATGATCGAAGGCACTCCGGGCAAGCCCTTTGGCGGCCTGATGGCGCACTTCAATCTGGTGGAGGCCAACATGCGGTATCGCCGCGAAGAGGTCACCGAGCTGCTGGACAGCGATGAGTGCGTGATGTCCATAACAAACTTTCCGCGACTGGGTGCGCCGAACTTTACGTATCCGGTGTACCAGCCGCGACCCGAAGATCCCCTGAGCTCCGCCCGCTCACTCTACTTTCCCGATGAAGCCATATTTCCGGGCCATCCGCGATTCAAGACGCTCACGCGGAACATACGCATGCGGCGCGGCGAGAAGGTCTCCATCAAGCTGAAGGGTAAGCTCCATTGCCTCTCAGCCTGTAGTCCACTTGCTAATGAGTAATGAAATCGCTTTCTAGTCTTTAAGGATGTGAACACACAGCTGCCCGTGGAGGGTGCGCCGCCTGGCGAGCCGGATGTTGTGCTCCTGGATGCCATGGGCTTCGGCATGGGCTGTTGCTGCCTCCAGCTGACGTTTCAGGCCTGCAACATAACCGAGGCGCGTCGCCTGTATGATCAGCTAGCGCCGCTTTGTCCCATCATGTTGGCCCTGACCGCCGCCTCGCCGGTTTACCGCGGCTATCTGACTGAGTCGGACTGCCGCTGGAATGTGATTAGCTCCTCGGTGGATTGCCGCACAGAGGAGGAGCGCGGCCTGAAGCCGCTTAAGGAAAACAAATTTCGTATCGCCAAATCGCGATACGACTCCATCGATTCGTATCTGTCGCCCGAGGGGGCGAAATACAACGATGTGAAGCTCACCTACGATGAGGCTGTGTACAAGCGTCTCATCGACGGCGGCATCGATCATCTGTTGGCCCAGCATGTGGCCCATTTGTTCATTCGGGACACCGTATCGCTGTTCAGCGAGAAGGTCCATCAGAATGATGAGGAGGACACAGATCATTTCGAGAACATCCAGTCAACCAATTGGCAGACGATGCGCTTCAAGCCGCCGCCGCCGAACAGCTCGATTGGCTGGCGTGTCGAGTTTCGTCCCTGCGAGGCGCAAATCTCCGACTTTGAGAATGCGGCGATTGTGTGCTTTGTGGTGCTGCTGACCCGTGTCATCTTATCGTATCAGCTGAACTTCTTAACGCCCATCAGCAAGGTCGATGAGAATATGCAGACGGCCCAGAAGCGGGATGCGTGCCGCAAGGAGAAATTCTGGTTCCGCAAATCGTCCAAGTCGACGGAACAGCGCGCCGCCTGTGTCCAGATCAACGGCACCACGCCGAGCACAAATGGCAGCAGCAATGCGACGGCTTCGAGTCCCCTATTCAATGGCACTGCCAAGCTGAATGGTCATGGAAATGGACTAAACGGCAATGCCAACAACAACAGCAACAGCACCAACACGAATGGCACCCACATTCAGAATGGAGGCAGCGACAGCGATCACACCGATACGGATGATGAGGAGACCGAGCTGTTCCAGCTGCTTAGCATCAATGAGATTTTCAATGGCAAGGTAAGTGCTGGATAGAAGTTCTAGTACCATCTGAATAACCACAATCGAATTCGTTACAGCCCGGCGTATTCCCTGGCCTGGTGCCGCTAATACGGAGCTATCTGCAGTCGATGGAGGTGGACACTGACACGCACTGCACAATTGAACAGTATCTGCGCTTCATACAGAAGCGCGCCGCCGGCGAGCTGATCACCACGGCTACCTGGATACGTGAGCAGGTGCTCAGTCATCCGGACTACAAGTGAGTGAGATATAGATATACCTATATGCCTTTGTATTTATATAGCTCAAATCACTAATGATTCTTTGCCATTGGCTATTGCAGAAAGGATTCGATAGTCAGCGATCGTATTAACTACGATCTGCTCAAGAGCATACAACGCATACAGGAGGGCAAGCATGTGGAGCCGGCGCTGCTTGGCCAGGGCAATCATTCCAAGACGAAAGATTTCATTCCGCCCGCACTTCAGAAGCAGCTGGCCAAGACGGGCTGTTGCGAGGACAAATGATCGCGTTGATTTGACTCGCCGAAATAGACACACGCCGAAATATATACACAAAATACACCAAACAGACGAACAGATTCACACACACAACCAACACAACAACCAAACCAACCCGAATAGAAAAGCAAATCAGCCTCTACTCTAAACACACACACACACACACCGAGATACATATGCATACATATATATACATATATATATAGATAGATAGTGTGTGTATGTTGCGCGGCAAAATGTTAGCCGAGACGCAGGCAGAAGCTCGAGCGGATCGGCTACACAAGACAAAAGCCAGCTGTGGACAACAGAATGCGCGACAGTGGGAGGAAGAGAGCAAGAGAGTGCCGTGTGCCTCGTGCTGCATGCCCCGAGCTTCGTGAGGCATCGCACTTGGGTCTTTCGATGGGGAGCAACATTTATCAATATTCATATTTTTGTAGCATGATTCTTAATTATTTAATCAGACCACAAATTCAAAACAGAAAGAGATAGTGTGAGAGCAGGGGGAAAAGAGCGACAGAGTGAGAACTAGAAAACGATGGCTTATGGCTTACGTAGGCGAGTATGCTGCTCAAACAAGAACAACGTCAGCAAAAAGATATTGATTGAGCAGCGTGTTTGAGAATCTAGGCTGTCGATTGGGCGTGTTGCACTAGATATAAATCTATACACTTACATATATAAACACAAAAAAAAAAAAAAAACAACAACAACAAAAAACATAATTATATGTAATAATACAATAATTTTTGGCTACTTCTTTATTCATGATTTTTTCTTATATATCTGCATAGATATTTATGTATGTATTCACTTTGTATTACTACGATTGTGTTAGAAAATGCCCCAGCAGGCCCGGGCGAAATCTCAACCAAGTGCCGTTCCATATGACGCGATAAACAAACAAAGAAAAATGAAATAAATAATTAAAAATAATAATATACGCCTAAACGGAATAGTTCAAAGTCAACCAAGTTGTTTATTTTTTTACATATATATACAAATATATATATAAATATAATTAATATTGTTTGCTTTTTCTTAACAGTGTAAATGATAAAAAGAAAGAGGAATAGAGAAAAGTGAAGGAAAAATTTGTGCTATTATAATTTATTATGAGTAATTGTACCACGAACACATTAATATTATTTTATTATTATTATTTTAACTATTAAAAATATAAAAATAAAAACAAAAACAAATTGAAACCAATTGTTAAAACTTAGTTTGTTATAAAAGCAAAATATTAATAATATTAAAACATTCAAAATAATAAAAGTTGATCTTTAAACTAATCAAAAATAAACAGACACATATAGACATGCATACATAAATAGAACTTATGAAAGTAAATCAAATTTATAAACATATGTTTATAACAGTTTTTCATAACCATTTTGTACGGTGCATAGATATATACATACATATAAATCTATATATGTGAAATATATATTTATGTTCTTTATTCATCGAACGTTAAGAGAATTGCCTTCTGAATGAAAAATCGATTTCATATTCACAAAAATGTACTTAGGACTTATGATTAGTTAAAAGACAGCGTTAATTAGTGGAGAAGACGTTGGGCTATGGTGCAACAGAGGTTAGGGAAATATTAAACTTTTAACTAGACTAGCGTTAATAGAGAATTCAAAGAGTTGGACGCTGAACATCTTTACATATACATATAATTAATAAATTGACTTGATAAACAATTCTTTAATTAATTCACATTGTACTTATACAAAAAAAAAAAAAAAAGAAGGAAATAATAATAAGTATATACATAATTCACAATACAATATTTTTAGCCAATTTAAAAGAAATGTACAGCACTTGATTATTATCATGCACATGGCATGGTGAGCAGAGCATTTAAGTTTATATACATATGTATTTCGATATATGTATGTATGTTGATTTTTTGGTTTTTAAATTAAATGCCTACCCTGCCCATAAGAGCAAACGCAGTATTTTGATAATATCAAGTGCATATTATTATCTACATATGTATACCAATCACTAAATGCAAATAAAAGAAGAAAAAAGAAACAAACATGTTTGTAACAAACTTATAGTTTTATTTATTTTTGCTTTCGGATCTGCGTACAGATTTCAATTTAGCTTTTTAAGCAAATGTAGCGCATTTTGCGTTAGCGTTGCTCCGTTTTGCGTCTGTACAGCGCTGTTACTGTTATAAAGAGCATGTTAGCTTTACGTTGGGCTCGCTACGTTGTTTTATTCGTTTTGTTTACATCCGAGCTACACATTGACATTCAACTTCCATATACATATTTTATTTATTTTTGGCTGACAACGTGCGTTTAAATGTTACCTTCTATGCTAGCATCTCTATGTCAAAGCATTTAACGTTGTCTCAAGTGTTGCGTATTTTTATTTTGCATTTGCTCACGTCTTTAATGGCAGTTTAATATATGTAATTATGAAATCAGCTGGAAACAAGACATTGCGGTTTTATCGTGAACTACGTCATGCACTTTATGCAGAATTAAATTACATTTCTAGTGCCCTTGTGTAAAGGATTTGATTATGTGCGTGAGTCATTGCAACAATGCATATTGTTTTTGAGGCACACTCTCTATACCGATCAAAACAAACACGAAAAAATACCGTTACATTATAAGTAGTTGCGAGAGTGTGTGTGCTTTTGGGTGGAGTACATGTCTGTATACATACTTACACGCATACATACATGTCCATGCATTGCGAAGCTCTGTAGAATCCCTTTGCCTAAGCAGCACGTATCTGTGTGTGTGTGAGTGTCGCCGCTATTGCAAACAGTTGGCGAGCCTAGACTCAATAATGGCACCTACAAGGAAACTGCAAAAACTCATTTGCCAATAAATTAAAGACCGGGAAAACTGAAAACTAATTCTGCTTAAATTGATTGTAATAAGTACACAGTGTGCGTTCGTGGGGCAACAGGCGACGTGTTGAGGTAGACGTGATACATGGCTGCACAAAACGGCTGAAAGGGCCTGTCCTCCTCGTCACATCTCTGACAACAACAAGTGATAAATAAACGCTGTCCAACTTGCAACTGTAAATAACATGTGTATGAATGAGTGTACACACGCATTACGGCAAAACGGAACACGCCCAGGGCGATAGTCATAAAGTGTTGCACATGACGAAAAAGGCTCCACCGTAGGAAAAGCAACAACAACAACGACAATAGCAGCAGTAGCAGTAGCAGTAGCAGCAGCAGCAACAGACAGTGTTGCCAAGTGTCGCAAAGTGTAACAATAAGTCGAATAAAAAACATAACGTCCTTGGTAACGGCAAACGTCAAAACTGGAACAGGCATAAAAAGAACAATAGGAAGAGACAAAAAGGACGTCAAAGACGCGCACGGCGCATACAGCGTGAAAAAGCAAGGTGTGCTAAAAAATATGGGTAAGTGGGTTGTTTTCAACATTTGACAAATTTGCATGAGTATGTGTGCATGTGTGTCTCTACTAAACTACCTTTGTGTGAATGTGTGTGTGTTCGTGTCCGTGTGTAGTGCTTGCAGGTGACAATGGTCACAGACGCAATTGACAGTTGAATGGGTTAGATACCAAACGCCGAGAGCGCTACTGTGACAGGGCGAAGATAGAGAGAGAAAGAGCGCGAATACAACAGAAAGAGAGTGTGAAGGCGCGCGCGTGAGAGCAAGCCGTTGAGAGTGCGAGAACGGAGCAGTGGTATGTCCTGTTATTTTTTGTTTTTATTACTAACACACAGCTAAAGCTTTTGTCTGTGTGCTTGTGAGTGTGTGAACACAATGTAAGCTAAAGCAGGCTTAAAAGGACACGGCAAATGTACACACGCACACACACAATATGCAAATTGCATTTTTCCTGTGCGCTTTTGTAATTTCTTTGGCTTTACGCTGCTTTGTGTCGCTTTTCTTGATGCTTGTTTCCTATTTTGCTACTGTCGCTTATTCGATTCATGCGCTCGTGCCTTGCGCTCTGTGTGTTATGTGTGTGTGTGTGTGTGTGTGTGTGTTGTGGATGTATGTATGTGTGTGTAGGCCAAGCCAAAGCAACCGTTAGCTGTTGGGGCCCTCGGCAGTGAACTTTTTAGTGCCTGGCTGCCAGGAAGGGCCGCAAGGAAAACCAAAAGCCTCCGCGACTGCAACTCGAAATACGTTTCGCTGCGTTCTGCGGTTGGTGTTGCCTGTGTGTGTGTGTCTGTGTGTGTGTATGTGAGCGTGTGAGTGAGTAAGAGTGAGAGTGTATGTGTGCTTGTCACGCCCCTTTGACATTTTATTTTACTTTTTTTTGAGTGCACGTATATTAAACAATAGAACACTTGTCACATGGTTTGTTGCAGCAGCAGCAGCACCAACATCGCCCACAACAGCAGCGGTAGCAGCAATAGCAACAACAACAAAAGCTGCAGCAGCAGCAGGACCGACAGCACCTGACAGCAGCGGCGTCGGCGGCGGCGGCATCGACATCGGCAACGGCATCGAGATGCTGAAGGCTTTGTACGACTTTCAAGCGGTTTATCCCAAAACCATTAGCTTTGATGAGGGCGAATATTTTATACTCTATCAGACCTCCGCACGCCAACGGAATTGGTGGCAGGTGGTCAGCATGAAGGGCAACATTGGCTTTGTGCCATCCAATTACGTAATGAAGATTAAGGTAAAGTGTCTGCTTACCGATGTGGAGTGACACTTAATTAAGATATTCTTTGTTCGCTCGGCAGGTGGAACATGATTTTCTCATCAGCTTTCTCAACTCATCGATTGAGTCGCTGGAGAAGTGCACTGAGCCAGAGATTAATGGCATCATGTCCAGGGAGGAGCTCCTCGACAGACTGCGCGAGAAGAAGCACACCATGGAACGGCTCTACGCGGTTAGCATTGATTCAATGTAGATGTACATATGTATATATATATCGGCGATAATTATGTTGATAGAGCTATAGATGAGCATATTAAATTATAGATACAGACGCAGATACAGCTACAGATAAAGATAGAGCTATAGATACACAGATACAGATAAAGATAGAAATTAGGATATACATACGGATACAGATACAAATATA